GAAATTTTAAGGCTCTCTTAGTTTGGCCAATGTAAATTAAACCACACTGGCAAGGAATCCTATAAATACCCCAGGAATTCTTATCCGGAATGGGGTCCTTGAGTATGGAACTCGAAATTTTATTGATGGGAGAATAAACAACCCGAAAGTTAAATTTCTGCAAAATATGTGCAACTTTATAGCTAACTGATGGAAAGAAGGGAATGACAACAGAATTTTTACAATCTCCTAAAACAAGAGTGTGCCTTTTAGTGTGTTGAGATGAGAATTTTTTAACTGCTTGATTAATAATGTTGGGTGGAAAGCCCCTGTCAATAGCTATTGCTTTTAAATAATTTAGTTCTTCATCAAGGGCTAGTTTGGAGGAGCAAACTTGAAGAGTACGGAAAACATAGGAATAAAATGAAGCTAACTTTTGTTTAGTCGGATGACATGATTTCAAGTGTGGTGGAAGGCAAACCGATGAAGGTTTACGGTAAACCGTAGTACTGAAGTTGGATGTGTTACGTGTGACCAGAATGTCGAGAAACGGAAGAGAATTGCAAGTCTCAAGTTCAAAAGTGAACAGAATAGCAGGATCAATAGAATTCATTGTTGAAAGAACTTTATTTAAATCATCTTTATTACCTTCAAACAGAGCAAAAGTATCGTCTACGTAAGCGGAACCATGCCGGGAAGTTTAAAGTTTCAAACAATTTTGATTCATAATAATGCATGTAGATATCAGCCAGGATGGGACTGAGGGGGCTTCTCATGGCTAATCCCTCAGTTTGCTTGTAATATTTATTTTGGAAAACAAAATGTGTTTGTTTCAAACAGAGTTGAGTGAGAGAAATTAGCTCATCAATTTCCATGCAAGAGAAATGAAATTCGCGAAGTCTGGTTTCTAGACATCTTAATGCACCCTCCACTGGGACATTGGTGAATAATGATTTTACATCAAAAGAAACCATGAGTAAATTACTAAGAGAAATGTTTTTAACTTTTTTTACAAACTCTATTGAATTTTTTATGGTGTAAATGTTAATGTCTAGAGTTGAAAATCTAGAAACTAAATATTTAGCTAATGGATACGAGGCAGTACCTAAATTTGATACAATAGGGCGGAAAAGAATACCACTTTTAAGAATTTTGGGAAGAGCATATAAACTGGCACAATTCGCAACAGATGGGATAAGTGAATGTTTTAAGTTGCCTGAAATGATTTGCGAAGATTTGATCGCAGTTTTTATTTTTGACAAGTCCGAAGGTGAAGGATCTTTAGGGATCGGATTATATGGTCCTTCGTTTAAGAGTTTAGTGACACCATCGATGTAAGTGTTCCTATCCATGACGACTATCTGGCCACCTTCGTCGGCCTTTGAAATAATAATATCCGGGTTAGAATGAATTTCACGCAATGTAGCTCTTTCTCTCGCAGTTAGATTTGGTTTCAAAGGTTTATTATTGAATTTCACATTATGAGCGATAAGATGCCTAATCATTTCTTTCTGTGAATCTGAAACTTTACTGAACTTGAAAGCTTTTTCGATATGTTAGTCTTTCAGAAGAACAAGATAGAATTCTAAAATATAATTTTAACTTCTCACAAACTTGTAAACTCTCGATTCCAAAGATTTTGGCTCCTATCGAAAAAGCTTTCAAGTTCAGTAAAGTTTCAGATGGTATGGAAACCCTATTATGACGTAATCGTTTGCATTATTCCAGGAAATTTTGAATCATGGGATTTTTTGCAAGGGCTTTTGTGCTGTGTGTTGGTTTGGAAGTACATTACTCGTTTCATTGTTTAGACGGTACAATGGCTGAATGTAGTAGGATTAATTTGAAGTTTCTGTACGATTTGGAATGAAAAGTGCATTAATTGATTAGTGTGTAAATGAAAGTTTACTTAGTAGCCGTAGTCCGGAACTACGTAGTATATTTTTGACTCTTTATTTTTGTGAATTTATGTAGCGACGCCGATATACGGATTGTAGTTCAGATAATTTTAGGAAGTTTTTGATTCTGTTAAGGAATTTTGTGTGCCACAGACTAAAGACGAACGAATTTCTAAATGAGGTAAATATATGTTTTGTGTAGTGCTAAAATACATAACAGGGTTTTCCTTTTTTGTGTTATTTTATTGTTTAGTGTAAAATGTAGTTTATTGAGATTATGTATTTTTTGTTTGTCTCTACTCTAGAATTGTGTGCTCCTTTGACTTTTAAGTGAAAATATATCGATGTGTACATGGGCAAACTCAAGGGAGTGCGTAAGGCATAGTTTGTGCAATTCTCTGATGTTTTTTGAAGAAAAAAAACGTCGATGTGTACATGGATAAAGTCAAGGAAGTGCGCAATGCTATTTTTGTGCAATTCGGGGATTTTTTTTAAGTGAAAATAGGTCGATGTGTACATGGATACCGAGTTTGTGCAATTCTTTATCTTGTTTCTTTGGCTTTGTGAGCGGTGATTTGGGGCGGAAAAAAAATCGTCGATATGGCAAGCCAAAATAATAAGTCAAAGAATTGCACAAACTCGGTATCCATGTACCGCCAAAAATCGCCAAGTTTCCTTAAGGGGTACCTTAAAATATACTTTTACCGAAAAACGCGATTTGAATTTTGTCAATCGGCCCAGTAGAACGGAAGATATAGAACTGTCCTTTTTTTTTGCAGTGTACGTTTAAAGTGTATGTTTATGCACATATATTTATGTACAAATTTATATTGTGTATGACAGAAATTCGGTAACATAAAGACTCCTTATATGAATAATTAATCGGTTTGCACACAGTAATATTGTTTCATAACTGGCTTGTTTCCCCCATCCCCCTTTCAAAATGTTACTTCTTTCTGAGTTTATCTTCCAATCTGTAATTCTTTCATTCATTTCCTTTTGCGGAAAACAGGCATCGGACATGACCTAAGAAGCTAAAAAAATAATTATGATCGTCAACAGGGCTTAAACAAGCCAACAAGCACTTTTCCTAACGGATCAGCTATCCACCGGCGAAGAAAAAAATGAAGGTGGTTACTAACGCTGACTGTCGTATGGATGGGGCAGGATTTGAACCCTGGAGAAGGCAGTATTGTTTGTAAGCGTATAATGTCTTGCGGTAAGAAAGCACTCAAAATATGCGACAAGTCGAAACTCCTCTCGGAAGGTTCGGAGTAGTAGAAAAGGAGTAGGAGACCCTCGGAACACACCCCGCGATATTGCCTCTCAAAACTGGGGCGTAATCGCACAGTTGGTACGAAGGGACTGCAGGTGGTGAAATTCTATTGTCCCGCCCACTTCTACCTGAACCTGTACCTGGTGGGCCAGAAGAATTATTTAGCATTGTTTGCCAGATATGAGGCCCGGTGGCGCAGCGGCTAGCGCATCGCGCTGCAGCACCACAGGTCCGGGGTTCGATTTATGGGCTGGGCAAGGTCGACTCAGCATTTTATCCCTTGATTTCCATCATTTGGTTCGATAAAGTGAGTACCAAGTTCGCTTGGGAAATTTAAACACTGGGACTCCTGCAACAAGCTGACCTGAACTCCTGCGACAAGTTCAGGACATATGCTTACTCATCCCGGGGCCCACGGTCAAGAAAGCAGATTTCGGCCACTGCAGGCCTTGGCCCATTAGGGCTGTTACGCCACTGAGTTTAGTTTAGTGTGCCAGATATGATCGCGCATTTTCGTAATGAGACTTAATCATAAGCAAGCTTTGAAGGTAACATGCTCCAAAAGATTGCAGATGCAGCGTCAACAGTTGAGTGTGCTGCAGTTGCGTATTAGTTGGTGCATGATTAAATTACAAGGATGAATTAAATCATAATTACTGGTGAAAAACCGGTATAGCAATGGGTAATGCAAGGTTCATGATGTCTGTCACCGTAGTGCCACCAAACTCGGTTATGACCGTTATGTTCTTATGGGTATAATCAAGATTTGTCTGAGAATACAATAGGTGCTCACGTCCATGTCCGGCATTAATGCAGCATCATACTCTTGTGTAGTAGAGTCAAAAAGCACTACACTTCTTGCAGAGATTGTTATCCTTTTCAGATAACGTAGAATAGTAATACGGGCTTTAGCTCTTGTGTAACGGACCTTAATTATTGCGCTAGGGATTATGATGTTGCTGTGGGATCAGTCATTGCCATATGCGCAACAAACTTGTTCTCTCGTTCAAAGCTTTTCCAATCGTTCTAATCGGTCGTTTCGTCCCTCAAGCAATCGCTAATTCCATATTGACATATCATAGTATCTGGATTTTGTTCACCACGAGCACTGGTTTATCATAAGGATAATCTGCAGTCTGTATAGGCCACGATTCTTCCTCTGCCTGACGCTCGACAGACTGCCGATTATATCGAGCAGACATACTTTTACAGAACAAGATAGTTTCTCTCGCAGGACGGATAGGAAAAGTGGACTGAACAATCATAATTTAACCAGTGATTTTACCGATCATGCTTCCCAACTTGGTCTGAAACCGGAAGGAGACCTTTTTGGGGATAGGAACCTAAGGTGCCGCATCTTTCTTTCCCTATCAAAAGTCTTCTCAAGAAGAGATTCTGCTCTCCTCGTTTTAAGTGTTCCCAAGCTGCACTAAAAATATTACATGATGCTTACAAACATTTAAGCCTTCTCTGTGGTTCGAACGCGAGCCCAACAATTCGGTAGCTAGCATCGCTAAGTACTATATCAATCAAACGAAAACTTGCCAAGCAAAGGAAGTGTAGAAAAGCACATAGTTCCAAAATTTTAAACAGCCTACATTCTCTATTTTTACAGTGTTTAGGAGGAGTTATTGGATCATGAGATTTGCGTGAGAGCTGCAATAAAAATTATTTGCTTGTCTTCACGAGTTTTACTCATGAGGTAAATATCATGCTTATTGGACGATTCTTTATGATGCTGTATTGTGTATCATAAACATTGCATTGTTCCATAAGAAAAAATTTATTTTCTAACATATTTTAACCTATCATATACTACAATATATGGAATAATTTAAATCTTTCAGTTGCAAAATCCACGAATGTACGAACCACCCTTCCGCTACGGAACTATACCTTATGGTAATACCGAAGCTATTCTGAAGAAAAACAAACCCCATTTATTCACATGGATGAGGAAGTTCAATAGGTCTTCTGTTCTTCAAGGAGTCGCTGCTGTCAAAAAAGGGCAAGTAAACTTCATTCATTAACTGGTTAAAAATTATTTATTCTTCTACATATTTCATTGTATCTGAGATATATAATAGACATTTTCAGCAAAAATATTTCCAATGCTCTTTTATGAATATGTGTATAATATTGAATTCTCTATTCTGCATTTCATTTAAACTTATTTCCTCAAATTTCATTAGAGCTAGATTCCTCATTCAATTAATTCAGTTCTCACTTCACGGCAAAGCAAAAATAAAAAAAAATATAAAAAACCCTCCAAAATATCTTCATTCAAAATTAAGAGATATAGAAAAACATAAAACACCAAATACAGTTAAAACAATTATTACAATTAGAGTTTCAATGCAAAAACAAGCAATTTGGCCCGCAAGCAAGAAGGCAGATTTTTCAGGACACAAAACTAAGAATTTCCTTTTGGTCCCAATCGGAAAAAAGACACTGAAGGTGCACAAACTGACTTAATTTACTAGTCTGCTAAATTTCAAATGTAAACGAATGTGGTTACTATGGTAAAAACAAATTAGGCTTAGCCGCACTTAAGCAAATTTTTAATTGTTGATAATTCTACAACTATTGCATTCAGATTAACGAAAGGCATAAAAACCTTAACCGGAAGATGAGAACAATATAATTCAATCATTTTGAAAGCAAAAAATGCATAATTTACCGACATATAAGAATTAAAAAAACTGAGCTCACTGAGCCGAGTAACAGAGTCAGTATATATATATACACTTTTGGTGCGGCCAATTGCAACCAAAAAGGGAGGTGTATAACTATATATTATAGCAGTCCTATATACAAAGTTTCAACGTTCTTAGGGTACTCGGTTTTGAATTATGCGAGATACATTCATACATATATACAAACATGATGAATAAATCTCTACCAAATCCATTTTAAATCAATTTTATAATCCGTTTGTGGAAAAGGAGTCTTTTATTTTTCCCTTACGTACATATGTCATGAAAAAGCATCGTTAAATTGCATTCGATAGCGATCGAAATGGATATTTTCGTTGAAATATGATACCTGGAATTTTTTGTGATTGCAATACTTCCTTTACTTCGTGTAAGGAAGTAAAAAGTCTTCATTCAACTATTCCAAAATTTCAGCTCAATTCTGTTGATGATCTCGAATAAACAAGGTTTTCTTTTTCAATTCTTATTAATGTATTAATTTTATTTTTAAATTATAAATGTATGATTAAGTTTAAAATTTTCGCAAAAACTCTAAAATAATATATCTTAAATATTTGGCGTGATAGATATTCTCAAATGATACCACTGATGGAGCAAAACAGCAATTAATTCAGAAGCTAAACAATTCAACAATGAGCACGAAAATAGGCGGTCTTATGGTAAAGATAACGGTTTAGAATTCTGCTCTTTAGCGGCATCTGTTAATCTCTTTAAATCATCTGTTAACTAGACTGAAAATAAATTTTAAATGGATTAAAATTTTAGTTTGTTGGATGAAGGAATCCAGCGAGTCGTCACATAGTACATTCCTAATGAATTTCAACGGATTTTACTACTGTCCTGTACGCTCACGCCTTTAATACCCGCATTGTTCAAGATGATTGCATAGACGTGATAATTAATGTCTCTATTTATGAATCATATTATTACCGGACATTTCCATATATAAACTGATAATTTTCAGAAAATCATTTATTACTGAAACTGAGAGGTCTGCTACATATGAGTTCAGACAGATTTACAAGTAATTTTGTCATTGTAAAAATGATAGTATAAGACAAATAATTGAAGAAATATCAGCTCTACTGATTTTAATGTGCATTAATTTAATGTCTTTGTACTTATATCCGACTCGTAATTTTCTAGTAGTTCTTCGAAATCTTTTCTGAGAGAAATCCAAATGAATGTCATTATCCTCCTTTTCATTATTAACATTGTTGTCATTCGCTTCATAAGTATCGCCATCTTTTGTTCTGCTTTATAGCACGCCTCAGAAAGAGTTATGAGAATCGGAAAAGGGAAACTATGGCGACAAAACTGCTGTTTCTTTCTATGATGCCTTTATTTCTGTTTTTCAAATTTGAAACTAAAGGCGAAATGGTAGACTCTTCTGATACATCTAACTAAGCTGGGCGAACAGTTAGGCACGTGTTTTGGGTATGCGTCCTTGGAAAAGTATTTATTCTGCCTTTATTTTCGCAACAGCTGTACTCAGACATATACTTGTAGTTACAAAAATGTTTTAAATGAAGCAAATATTTCTGTGTTGACATTTTTAAACGTAGAAACTTCGATTTTGCAAAAATTATAAAATCCAAAGTTTTAATCGTTTCCCTAGTACCCATATTTATATTTATGAAAATGCTATGCTCATTATGAAATATAAAATATGAAATTTGACTTCCGTAAGCCAAATTTGACCGAGATATTTAACTGTAATGTTTGCAAATTTTAACGAATTTATAGCACCAAAAAATCAAATTTTATAGTTTTCTTTGGAGTCAGTTAAAAATAAATTAGGTTTAGTCAAGATATTCTTTTTTATTTTCATTTAAACCCATTTAATGATATTTCTTTGTGTAACATTCTTTAATTTATAATTTTTATTATTCGCAACTGTTTGGTTTGGGTTATGGAATAAAGATTGATTAGACAATCCATTTTTTACAACTGGCGAGAAGCGCACATAAATAAAATTTAAAATACTAAATGGACAATGAACAAAATTTGAACCAAATCTTCTAACTTTTCATCAGATATTGTCTCACTGAAGTAGTTGACATATGCGTGGTTCAGAATGATGGCGCTGCAGCACATAAATCCGCAGGGCCACACAATTTCATTAGATTTAGATTTAGAACGTTTGGCCGCCAAAATTATCCGACTTGAAACCACTACTTTTTTTCTGTCTTGGCCTTGTGAAACGGAATGAATAAATTACACAGATCTATTACATTAGCCGCGACTACGTATATAGCATAATCTATGCTAAAAGAGTTACAGTATGCTATTTCATGGAGGCAATTATGTGTAGAATTTGAGAGTAGACATTTTGAATAAATATGAAACCAAAATTATTCAAGTGTGGAAAGCTTTATTCCGCCTCCGAATTTCTCATTTTACGATTTGTGCTAAATTTGGTGTTCTTTGGTAGCATGAACTAAGTCCAAACTCAGTAAGAGACATAGAGCGAGTTATCGCTGTGCCTGAAAAGAAATGCAAACTCTTATGAAGGTTTAAAATTTTTTTTTATTAAATCAGAACTTCAACATAAACACAGAGTTGTGCTTGGGACAGACAGTCACCATTTGTGGCGAGGTAACTCAAAATAACACTCAAATTTTAATTTAAAACTAAGTCTAGTAGCCAAAGGCTACGCAGTTAATTTAAAGCGAAATTGCCTATGTCAGCATAATTTAAATGTCAGCAACTATAATGCCGAAAACCGGAAAATACAATCTTATCTGAGCTAGCAGAAACCTAGTACCACGGCCTTCAGAGGTAGAAACACGTTCTGCCACGCAATCTGAAAACTCGTAACTTAAATGCTCATCTGGTACGGAACCGGAAAGGCAGAGTGACAGTAAAGATTTAAATCATAATAGCTGATTAGATAATGAAACTTTACCAAGAATAAATTCTTTGAATACATACCTATACTGTTTCCTTCAGGTTGCGTTTTTCAGATTCATAAATTTGTTATTTACTTTCTGTTACTGTGTACCACTAAATAATAGAATATTTTAAAACTAGTTTTTTTATAGTGATATTTTAATATCTGATCGTACGACAGTTAAAAGAGTTATTTCCATCAATTTCTCAAACGCAGTGTTTCGATTACTGATTATCAAAAAATATCATTCCATCATTAGTGTTACTTCTTATTCAAAATACTATGCAGATTAATTCTTTTTCCTTCAGAGAGCTGTTTTACAATCAAGTGATAATATTTTGCATTCTATACTAAAATTTAGAATGTCATCTTGGAATATTTTGTATTGATTAAAGCTTTTCTCTACTGTCTCTGCATGAATATTCGTCATTTAATCTACTAAGATGAGAAAACTTTTAAGCCGTTATTTTATATTCTGTTACATTCAAATTTAAATATCGCTGGCTTAATTTGTGTCCGACCCGTAAGAAAAATTACCTGAAATTTTAAAATTAAATATCTCGGTCAGTTTTCGTCGCAAGTGAATCACATGTTTCGTATTTTATTTTTTATAATGTGTATAGTATTTTACTAATTTATTTTCCAGTGGCGGGCACTTGCCTATAACGGTATTGGTCACGCCTAAGACCAGAAGTGGTGGTCATTTTATTGTGAATGCACCTAACAGGCGGCCACTGTTAACTCCTATGAAGGGACACACAACTTTACATCCATGCCTTCTCCGGAATTCGAACCCGGGACCTTCGGTATCGCAGTCAGGTTCCCCAAACCACTCTACCATCTGAGCGGCTTTTTCCTAAATTATAAGCAAAAGGATCAGGTTGGTTGGTTTGGTTTAGTTGATTACGGCAATGCACACTAAGGTTACCTGCTTAAGGGTAGAGATGCCTTCGTTGAAGACCTTCTAAAGAAAACTGGCTCTTATATACCTTACACATGCGAAAAACCACAAAAACACCCATGCAGCCAGCCCGCTCGCCTGGATTCGAATACAAATCAGAACTACCAGTATTAAGCGACTTTACCGCTCGGCCGCTGGTGAGGCTTGTAAGAATCAGGATAACGTATTTAAAAGGCTATTTTTCGTAAATTTCATATGATTGGTCGTAAGTTTTGAATTCAATTTACGCTCACATTTTAAATTTCGGATGAAAATTTGTAACAAAATTTTACCTTTCGCTTTAAAAATTTCACGATATCTCAAATGGTTTTGATTTTTAAATTGTTGTTTTCGTTGTCTTTGTTTACTACAAAATTTGAGGTTATCACTACTAGTAAATATTAATAAAGCTTTTATAACTCTTACAGAGATCTTGATGCTTTTATCTACGATGCTACGGTGCTTGAATATCTAGCTGGCCAGGACAATGAATGTCGATTACTTACTGTTGGTAGCTGGTACGCCATGACGGGTTACGGTTTCGCTTTGCCAAAGAAGTCCAAATACCTCAGCATGTTCAACAGGGCTATGATACAGTACAGAGAAAATGGTAAAGCGATGCATTTCCTAGATGCGATTATATAGTTAACTTTAGGTTCCAGCACTCATTTTTAATTGAAAATATATTCATGTATGAAAAGAGATTTTATGAATTTAATTTATACTATTTTGTCTTTGAAATAATTTTCATTTTATTTCATAACTTTGAATCCTTTTGCACAGCTTCAAAAATAAGATAATCTATTTTGTATATTTTATAATAGTAAATAAATATTTCATACATTTAAAATAATAATTTCATGCTTACATTTTTCTACAAAGAATACGATCTCTTTTTATATTTTGTTATGTAATAAAGTTCAAGTCAAGCGCTTTTCATGACATTTTTGGCTCGCGGGAAAAGAAAGAGAAAACTAGAGGCAGTTTGAAAACGTGTTCTGGACTGAGACTTAAAGGAAACTGAATAATATTGAGAATGGGTTTATAGCAATAGTAGATCTTCTTTCCATTTCTGTGATAAATAAATTATCGCCATGACTTGTCTTAATAAGCATCACGATCCAGACAATTTTCCACGCATCATAATAAAACACATGTCCAACGTATATTTCAAAGCGTTTAAATGAAGAGTAGCGTCACATTTTCTCACAATTTTAGCTACTAGTATGGAGTAATAAAAACAAGCAAAATAATAACATGGAAATGCCCTTGATGTCACGCATCCAACAGGAGCCCAGAAATATTGTTTGTAATATGCAAATTCTAAGCATTTTATTTATAATAGTGTTGTCGGATATAAAATTACAATCTATGGAGCAGCATATTATCTGACAAAATACAATGCGTTTGCACTGGAACATCTCTTATATTCTCGCAGCTTACCTCCTGCTTTCCTCTACCTGCTTACTTTCTTGAAATCTGCGTTGCGCTCAGGAGGCCTTGTCGGACACAGCAGAACAGAGGAGACAAAGAGGCTGTCGTTACATTTGCCAAATCATCGTAGAGAACTATTAAGGAAAAAGGTTCTAGAAATGTTGCTAGTAGTTCTATGAAAACTGCATCATTCGAAGAAAATGTACAGCGAATTCTCTGATGGTCATTATCTCTTGATGACGACCACCACTGATTGTAATCGGTATTTTTGCGAATATAAGTAAATATTGGCACTGACTAGTGCATTTCTTCTCTTATTTTCCGTTTTTTAACCAATTATTTCCAGTTAACTAATGTCTTACTTTTTTACATTTTTTACTTTTTTTAACTAAAAATTATTCTATTTTATTCTATCCTGCTTAAGCCGCAGTCACCCATAAATAATTAGAGAAAGGGAATGTGCAGCTGATTTAGTGAAATCGTAGACTGGATGTCAGTTCGTGTTTGTTTCGCTATGATTGGTCTGTTCTTGTATTAGACTGGCATAAAAGTTCATCAATTAGATGAGAAAGGTTTGAAGTGACTTTCGCAGATAGCTTGCGATCATTTGTCTTTTTTAATAAGAAATCATTCATTACATGGACGAATCCGTTTTAAAATTTAAGGCGCTTGTTTTCTGAAAGCATTGAGAAAGGAGAAAATTATGTGCTTTGTTTTTTTTTTTATTATTATTTTTATTATTATTTTCAACACCTGGTACTAAAATGCTAGAGGGGGAAAATAGGCAAGAAAATACCGTATGATTTTTCAAGACGGCCAGTTTCACAGAAAGTTCCACAAACCATATGTTCCAAAATATCAGTACTCACTTATGTTATCATAGGTGATCGAATAACTGAAATTATTAAATTTTTATTAGAGCAAAATGCAAGGAATTCTTTCAGCCGATTTGACATGATTTTTGTTAGCCTCAGTAGTCTTTTTTGTGTATGCGTGTGAGTTTGTGCGTATATATGTTGTACTAAATAAAGAAGTAGTTGAAAGAATTTCACTTTCCTAGCTTGCATGATTACCCTTTGACTGTTCTTACTTCTTGACGAGGTAATAATCTATATAACTAGTAAACAAATACAGCCAGGTTGATATGAAAAGGCAATTAATAGTGTACATTAAACTACTTATGTATATTGAAAAGTACAAGTAATAAAATTAATTACGAAAAGGACATATATATATTAGTGTAACATTCTCTTGGAGTCTTAGCTCTGAAAATGAGTCAAAATTTTTTAATTCTTTTTTCGAGATCTCCCATTTGGGCCAACTTATTGGGCACTCTTCTGTGCCTAAAGCTTAAAAGAACTCCATTCTAATCATTTATATTCCTTAATTGACCCATAATTATTTCTCTTATAACTAAAAATTCTTGCATATTTATAAATTATTATATGTATTTGTAAATTAATAAAATATTAATTTCAACGTAAAAGGTTTACGAGCGTTTACACTATACATAGTTGATGATTTTTTATTGCTGTTATTTCTTTACAGATAAGTATTCTTTCATTAAACAGGAAACTGAGATATACAATGATGTCCTATAAAATTCTGTATATCTGTCCATTAACTTCTCTAAACATACATATTCGAATGTTTTCCGCATAATGTTTCTTTACTATTTTATTTTTTATTATTTTACAATAATGTTTTATTATTTTAAAATACTGTTTTATTATTTTACAATACTGTTTTATTTTTCAAAATCATATAATTATTCCTTTAAGGTTATAATTGTCCGTAACGTAATTAAACTTTCTTACCCATAGCGTATTTAAACAGGCTACGTTTGAAGTATATAGAATCATATTAAGTAATTTTAAACTACAATATTACGCAGAAATCACCACATTTCCCATTGTCTCTTTCACTCAAACTCGGAGAATTGAGTGAGAAAAAGCGTTGAACTTATAACCCCATCTAATAGAAGAAAAAATTAATACATAATAATAAAATAAGATTAAATAAAATAAGCGTTGTGTAATAACTAATAAAATAAGCGTTGTGTAGTATAATTTGGACTAAATGATAAATTAGGTTTGAATAAAACATTAATTAAACCATTTAATTTCGCTACACTAACAAGCGCGAATATTGCGCAATCACTAGAACAGCCACTTCCGCACCAACACCGTGGCTATCATCGTTTCGATGCCATTTACCACTTTCCAGGCATCCGGTGGTATCAAGGGAATCTATTGGAAGACGACTAAATGAAGTTCGTATATGCTGCCCGTGTCCCATTAAGACGCCTACCATTGACTGCACATCACAGGCAGTGTCGAAGTTTTGCCGAACTTGAGCACCGGATGGGACTGACTGGAGGCGTGTGATCTTCAGCGCTGAGTCCCGATTCAATCTCAATGCTGATGACTATTGTACACTCCTTTTGAGGCAACCAGACGAGCGATTCGATCAGGCATTTGTTGTTGAGAGGCATACGACGATTACCAACATGTAACAATGTGTATAGGGATTTGTGGGGACACACAATCACCTCTAGTCGTCTTTTAAGGAACTATGACGGCTCGCAGTTACGTGGGCAACATTTTAATCCCGGTTGTACTGTATATGTCATCAAGTCGCCCAGGTACCATTTATCAGCAAAACGCTTGTCCACATACTGCGACTGTCCCAACAATTTCTTCAAGAATATGACGTACTCCCGTGGCCTGCCATGTCACCGAAACTCTCGCCAATAGAGCCCGTTTCTGACATGCTTGGAAGGCAACTGTAGAACTCGGAATGTAACTGCCCGTTCCCAGAATATTGATGAATTAACTGCCCAGTTGCAAATATTATGGCATGATCTTCTGCAGGGGTAATAGGTAATATACTTTATTTTATGCCTCGCCGTATTTCGGCTTGTATAGCTGCCAGAGATAGCTGTACTACTTACTGATTTGTAACATTTTTCATGCCATTTCTTCTTAATAATTTGATAATTTGTTTCGAGTTTGTAATCATTTGTTTAGCTCCTCATACACTATGTACATTTTAAGTTACGGGAAAGTAGTTCATTTCCTTCTGGGCGCATATATATTTTTTAGTGACAGAGTTATTTTGCTCCTCTTTTCTCATGATCTTAATTTTATTTTATTTAAAATTATTAATTTATTTTATTTTTTATTTGATATTCTTGAAGAAAACTTTAATTTTATTTCATATTTTTGTGATCGATAGGATGATATTATTAGTATATAAATATATTTCTATTGTTCATATAATTGTTTTAAAAAATAAAATAACGAACTTGAAATAATGAAAATATTAATAACAATAGACACATTTCTCCCATTCCTTTTTTCGGTATAGGAGACCTCGAGAGACTCCAGCGTTTCTGGCTTCAAGGCGCCTGTAAGCCAAAGCATAAAAAGCGGAATGTGAGTAAACCTCTGGATGTTAACCAGTTCATGAGCGCCTTCCTTCTCCTAGGATGTGGAATTTTATTCACAATTGTGGTGTTACTGTTAGAACATATCTATTTTAGTTACATAAGATACCACCTTTCGAAGACAGACAAAAGAGGATGCCTTACACTCATTAGTTTAGTAAGTATCTGAAGAGCTCTCTATCTTACATGATTTAAAAGCATTGGAATCTGAAATGGACTTAGAATAAAGACAGAGATCTACATATTTCTATGACCTAAAAAATAATTTTTGATTACAAGACAATCAACTATTCTTTTATAAAGTCTCAATGCTACGAGTTTTCAATTACAAACTTCTCAATGATAAAATCTTGTAAGTTATTTGTACTTCACTACTTCAAACCCTATAATTAATCATGTAAACTATCATACTAACACAGCGCGGAAGCACATGGTACAGTAACTTTCAATAAAGTTTTAATAGGATACCGACCGCACGCTCTCACAATGTGTCAAGCTTCCCACACTCTCACAGTATGTCAAGTTGCACATGCTGTCTCTAGAATATTTATCGGCCAGTTCGTATAACTGGTCTTGCTATTATGCAAATTTCCCCACTTCATTCCTAAATTCTACACATCGGTGTTTATGCATTACTTTTGTGGTCATTAGGTGCTGGATTTCAATCATTTTATCCAACCATGATTATTACTATTATTATAATTGAAATAAATAAAAATACAACTACTATCATAAGGATTTGTAAAAAGAAAGCAGTCAGGTCTTTAAAATGCAGATTTAACATAAACTATGTAGTTACCGTATAATTTTTAGAGAGAAAAGTATGAGATATTCTTAGATTTAGAAATTTTAGGGCAATGCGATATAGCAATGCGATATTTGTAAAATATGATATTGTTATTCATTACTTTTCATTAGCTTTTAGTATAAAATATTTTGTCCTTATTTCAAAAAGAATATTTGAGGAATATGATATGTGAAATATAACTTGAATAATACTATAAACAATTAGAAATATCTGATATGTTTCTATTGCAGAGCATGGGAAAATCACTTTTAACACCCAAGGCAGCAGTGGAGGAAGCAACAGAAGCGTTTACAAATCACAAATGTAAAGATCCCGTATGTGATGCTACTTTAGCAAAAACAAAGAGAGATTTGTACTTAGCAAATCTAAAGATTCAAGAGTTAACAGAAAGGAATAATATGCTGGGAGTCAAAGTCCTTCCATCTAATCAGGAGTAAGTACAAATCCTGAAATAAGCTCTTAAAGTAGTGTCCGTGTTTTCCTATCATTACAAGAAGAGAAATTCGTCGGAAAATTCAATTTGGAAAATTATCTCTGCAATTTTAAGATTATAATAACTAATATTTCTGCTTATGTAAAACGCAAGTGAAATGGTTTCGGATATTCGATTTACAAAACATCCAATAGCATATAGCTAAATCCCAGTCGGAACACTAATTTGTACTCTCTCTATATGTGATTGCAAACCACGCGAAGACTATCTGTTCTAATGAACGCTTAAACTATCAGGACTGCCAAGGCCCACTCGTTATGCCAAGAATTAGAGACTTAATGTGTAACTCTGTCTTTTGAGGATTATCCATATCGCCACCGATAGCCTAACAGTTATTTGAATTTACCATTTTAGAACCACTCATTCAATTAACCTATATTCTTTGTAGTACATCTCTGATCATCCCGACTTCCTGGAACTTTCCTCACGTAAGATAAAACGATTTAGGACAGACATGTATTTCAAGTGAGCCAAATATTTATCAGTGTAAAATAGTGCGGGCCTCGAGGAAAAGAATTCGGTACTTAATTATGTATTTTAAAAGCCCAGAATATTCAAGTACTTAATTTTCCAAGAAAGCACAAAATTATTGCTGCTTTAAGTCATTATATCTTGTAATGCCGATTATGTTTTACCGGCCTTATATTTCCCACGTTTTCGTTTTAGAATATAACACTTCGTGGTGTACAATGCAGTAGCCATGAGAAAATCAGTCCTTTCATAAGATTTATTTATTTCTTTGTGTAGGCCTGATGTTAAGCCTTTATTTGTTTCTGACCTTGGAGGAACTAAGTTTATGGCTACATAGAATAACTTTAAACTATAGTTTTTGGAAGTTCGCAAACAGCTTTAAGAGTATTCTTTCTAGTCTTCCTTCCATGTAGTGGTATGTCTAAACGTTCCTCAGATACAAGAAATTCCACACCACAAGCTAGAAGAAATACAGTTAACTGAGCTACACCACTCGCATCTGTACTCTCATTATATGGAATGGAGTTAGCAAATAAAGCTCGACGCTTTTAAAATTTCAGAATACAATTTAGTACTGAGTTACAATTTGCATCAATATTTTATAATAATGTATCTTTTTGTTATTTTCTATGTGTATAGACCGCCAAATAAAAAAATCAGCGACCGCATGCGGTTCGCGTGTTTAAAAGCATCGTCATATAAATAGCAACGGAAATTAATAATAAAATAAAAGCAAAATAATAATAATAATAAAGTAAAAAATATTAAACAATTAATTTTTACTAAGTAAAAGCCCCATGTTTAAATTTTAGTTAGCTTTAATATCAATAAAACAATTTCTGAACTCTTAAATATAAGTTGCTGTAAGTCTTAAACAAACCTAAGAAGACTGCATAACTTTTCTACACGGAATTATTAGGTTTCATACAGTGTTTCGTTTTTAAGCTTCAGTCATGGTAATTGATTGATTGCAATAAGTACAGTTTTGCCATTAGATGACAGTTGTACCTGAAATTTGACTAAACGCTTTAAATTTTAAATAGTTGCCTACTACGTTCTTACAATATTAATATGCCCTAGTAATTAAAATTAGATAATATAATCTATGTTGAGTAATTTACCTCATTTTTTTATTAAAATAATATTTTTCTTGTTTACAACAAAATTATTCCTCGCCTAAAAATTTGCTAGATTTGTGAAACGGTATTTCATACAGTTCCCTAAATAAATTTTGCCTAAAGCATCATTTACATGATTGTTTACAACGTAACAAAGTGCATTCAAAGGTTTGTGCAGTTCAAAGAAATTTCACCCATCGTTCAAGGGAAAAAATTATTCTGAATAATTTAGAAGAGTAACTTTTAAGAAACGAGATCTTCTCCGTAAATATGTTTAGTTCCCTTGATTTATTGAAATCAAGGGAGAATAATATTTGTCGAATAAAACTCTTTTATAAATGCGATTTTTAACTGTACCCTTAGTTTAAAAATATAAAAAAAGTTTGCGAATGAAACACATGCACTTAAGAGGTGCATTTAAGTTCTGAAAAGAATGGAGAGAAATAATTCCTAAATTAAATTAACGAAATGTAAGAATAAAATTTTTAGTTATATATATTTTTGTCAAATATTAAATTTTCAAACTGTAAGAATCTAATCGAAATCAAAATGATTGATATGCATGGCAAGTTTCCAAGTTTGTTACATTGTAATTGTTCCATTGAGTATTGAGGTAGTGAGAAATTTAAGAGAAATACCCATAAGAGGAGAGAATTAAAACTCCATTATTTAACATTTTAGTTCAAAAGGTTTTCAAAAATATTTATTTTTAATACAGTAAATATTCTTTCTCATAAATTGGTCTTTTAGTTAGAATACTTAGTCCTGAGTAATATCGATAATTGTTTATGAGGCAGAGCTTATGCAGAAAAAAGTATGGCGGTATAGAAAATTAACAGTTTCAATCACTGTTAGGTATTCTATGCATATAAACATCTAAAACTATTGAATATGTTCTGAAACGCTACATGCTGCAAAAATCTTTCAATTTTTTTTTTTACCTCTTTAAACAGACCCATTAAATCAAAGTAAAAACCTGTTATTTATCGCCTTTTTTCATGAAACTCCATATATAGTAACACTTTTATCAAGATAGTATTAACAAATTTTTATAGAAAATGATTTCCGTATTTTATTTTAATTTTTCATTGTTCATCATCTGTTTAGCTTTTCTTTTGTTACCCACATTGTCATGTTACAACACAATTCTGTTGCTGGAATTGTTTAAGTCATATTACTTCTAATAAACACATATTAGAAGGTTCGTTTCTATTTTGTAGATTAAAAACAAGTATTTTACTCTCATTATCATAGCCAAAAGGAGGTTTTTCCCTAGAATACTTTTATTTATTTCAAGTATAAAAAAAACTGATTTCAAATTTTAATTTATTTTGCTTTCTTTTCCTTACAGCTCAAATGCTACGCGCAAAATTTTGGAAACCCGAGATATGACGAGAAATTACATCTCAACTAATGAAATCAGTGAACCCGGTTACAAGACCCACCCTCTCCATTCTTATGGACCCCATTTCATCAAAACCAGTACAACGGCAACTGATGTCGCTGAAATTGAAACCGTGTTATGATAACGAGGATTAGTTTCTTTCACAGTACTCCGTAGCTGTGTGCAGTGCATAGAAAATTTACTTAGATTTACCATACTGGAAGTTCTATTCATAATTATGGCTCTCTGTATGCAGAAGAAACATGAATCAAAGTTAGTTAGCCAAATATTAATCAAAGTATAAGGCAAATAACAGCTGAGATCACTGGAAACATAGGAATCTAAGCCCACTTTGTTGTGTCAAAGATTATCATTTACTTAAAAAAAAACCTCCAAGAGAAATATTGTACAAAACCAAAAAGGAAAGAGATGAATTTGATTTTGAATTTAAATAAATCTCACCGTATTGCAATCAACGCTCATATCCATACACGCATATTTTACTCAAGAACAAGATGCCAAAAATGCTATTCCTCCATTGTATTTCCTCCATTGTAAACAGTACTCAACAATTCTTAAGTGAACTAAATATTTGATTTCTCAAGCAGTGCTTGAGATTTAAATCTTTATTGCTCATTAGAGAATTTATAGAGAAATATATCAGACAACATTTGGAGAAAGTAATTTATACATATATCCTTACATGTTTTAATGATTTATTGTCATTGATGCATAAAAGGTCTTAAAATAGCTTTTGATTTATGAGTTTTAAGTGCATAAGAGACTTCGATTAGTAGATTAAATATAAATTAAAATAAGTCATCGGATAAATGCAATTTTATTTCATGAGTTGCTACAACTATGTGAACATTTTTAGACTTTTCTATGAGTTGAGATATTTACGAAAATATAGTTTGCTGAATATATATTCTATGCAAATACTAGTAGCCTAGAAAGCATGCAGTATTAATTTAAGCGAAAATAAATATAATATGCCGTTACTAACGTTTCTACAAGATTATGAAGTGATGGGTAATCAAACTCATGATCTGCAACACACTACTTAGCATATTGACTGTTGACTGTTGTATCTGTTTTCTTATTACGTATTGCAATATCCTGTTGTTGTTTATAATGGCCTTTAAATTAAAATACCGGAAACTGTGTAAGAGAATACTGAATGTGGCATGGGCAAGATTAATTGAAATGAAGCCATTGCTTTTAGGTTACCACTTGATATCCGGTGAGCTTTGAAACTTTGTTATTATTTGAAAGATGATTAAACAAGAAGTAGATTAAAAAATAAACGAAAAGCATAAAAATATTTTAATTACAGGCAAGACAATTAATTATTTTAAAAACAAAAGAAGTGCGAAATTTTCAGGAAATTTCTACCTTATATCAGATATGATACAAAACTATATTATCAAAACAGGAATAAAATGAATGCTATAAAAATGGGTCTGAATGAATGTTACGAATAAGTGTGTTATTGGAGATGGTAAAAAAACTTGTAATTTCAACAGCTGAGTAAGTTAAGAAGAACAAAAATAGGTTATTACATGTTTCTAAACTTTATATTTTTAAGTCAAACATTAGAAAGTAAAAAACTAGAATTAATTCGAAAAAAAAGTAACTGTTACAGTTAGGATTTTGATTAACTGAATTTATAAAAATTAAGAAAAGGAAAATGAATATTGAAGTGAAAAAGCATCATTTTTAATTTAGATATACAGGACGCTTTATTTAATTCATTCGACTTAAATTTACGTTTTACATGCATTTTATATTTTAATAGGTAAAAATTTAATATTATTTTCCCATTCGTTACATTTTTGCTCTTAAATTTGCTCTTAGAATTTAAAATAATGTTATCACCAAAAAATTAAAATATCCCCTATCATGTGTTTATGGTATGGTTACACATAAACACGTATAATGTGGAATTTCGTTTTACTGTCAATGGCCTAAGACATAACGATTTGTAAATTGAATATTTTCAACATTATTAATAATAATACTCTCTGCGTTTAAACGTGCTTACTTGATAACGTTTTTAAATTCTCCATTTGCCAGTGGTTGAATCTTGGCTATGAAAATTTCCCAAAATTCAGTGGTTAGCCTGAAGCGTATAAATGCTTAATTATCTCTATATAACATATATCATAATATCCGTGATATTGACTTTAAAAATTAAAGTTTATTGATTGCGCTGTATTATTATCATTATTATTGCGATCTTCATTCGGATTTGCATTTGGGGAAAATATGCAAGTAAATCAATTACTTCTAGGTTAAATTTTATGGCGTTATATAGCTAAATCGATCAACTAAATGCAGTTTCTGATCTAATTGTGCATAAGTATAGAGGGCGTTTACACGTTTTTAGAACGATTTTGGGGGCATTTAATTAATGTTTAATATGTAAATGGTGTTTTTTAATGTTCGGTCTAATAGCCTATTTCTTACCTTATGCATCGGGATTTCCATGATAACGAGGGTTTCGTAAAATTTCCAGGGGTATTAATTTCCTTTCCTCTTCCAATTACTTTGCAGACCACTACTTTCCGACCAGAATTCGTCAATCATGGTGCATTTGCACGTAGAAAGAGCTCTTTTCAAGAGTCAAAAGGCATAATAATCTGTAGGTGAAGCGACAGGGGCTTAGGAATACGTTGAAAAGTTATAGTTGCAATACCTGTATCATATTTAATTTCTTCAAGCAATAGAATATTACATTTCGAAGGATGACTTGTTGCTTTGTCCAGACGAAATTTCACTCACTGATATTCCTTCGAAGAAAAGGACAGAAGAAAAGGAAATTCTTCTGTAAATATCCGACGTACAACTTTCTCTTGATAGCACGTTGATTTGATTTTAATATTTTGTCCACTCTTCTCATTTTAAATTTCCTGTTGCAAGAGAATCCGGCTATAATCGTAAAACTTTCTTTGCATTGGCGGAAACAGTTATGTCGATTTTTATTTCTTTCTTGTTTACGAATAACAGATAGACCTTTCTCTGTTGCAGTCATTTAGTCAAACCCATGCTTCATGAAACGTCGCAATTCTTGAAACACAGTTTTCATGCAGGATTATATAACTAGTTCAGCGTTGAGACGCACGCTTCGGCAAAAGCTGCTAATCATTATGCTTTCTATCATTTTTTAAGTTGTAAATCTTGATTTATTATTTTATTTATTGTTGCTACAGATACATTTAAAAACTTTGCAACTGATTTCGCGCCGGCTGATTTTCTCCTGTTATCAATAATTTCATTTTAGAAACTTTAGAGACAGTACGTTCTTGCTTGTTTCGGATATTCTTTTAGTATCCTGTTTTCATGTAGAAATAATGGCTGACGGTTTTTCCCTTTACGATTAATAATGTTGCTTATTTTGCACTTATAAGTTTTAATATCATGTATCGTACAGCGTTTTTGAGTAATGGAATAAAAATATTTCTGTTCGAAAAGCCCAGAAATATATTCTTCTGTCCGCAGCTTGTTTGCATGTGACATTTTCAAAGAAGAGTAAATTTTAAAATAGCAGATAATACTTTCAAATAACAAGCTGTTGACAGAAAATTTTATTCCAAAACATTTTTTTTAATTCTCTATAAAAATGTGCATGCAGTAAAATTGTAGATCACTGTTGAATTTACATTTTTCGGTGCTCTTATCAGTATTGGATTAGCATAATACCTTTCAAATGATTTCACTAATGAGAATTTCATAATCTTGCCCATAGCCGAACTTTGTTGGCAGCTAAGTCCTATTTCTGAACTAAAGATTTTAGTAAGCAATCTGAAGTAGAGGTATAAATGTTTTAACAAGTAATGGTGCTGCAATCAATGATTAGCGTATTTTATAAAAGAATGAAAGGAAATATTGAAGCTTGTTTTTTGTATATGTGGCTTAAATGTCAAGTGCAAGTTACATAATTCGTGTAGAACTAGAATACAAGTTAATAATCTTGTTTTGTAAAACGGTTCTGCTCATTCGCAGCCTTAAAGTGTTAAATCTGGTAAACTGTAAATATAAGCAATTTAACTTGTAGCATATCTGTGCTTGCCTTGAAAGTTAGCTTGCGTGATTGTCAAAAATCTTTTACTGTACACAAGCACTTCTGTTCACGGAAATGTATTTCATAATTGACAATTACTTTCAAATTAGGTTGTATGGTAAGGCAACTCCTGCTTAAATCATGTTCATTTATGTTAAATTCTACATTTTGCTAGTTAACTTATAAAATGTGACTAATATTGGTGTAACAGAATATTTCATTTAGATTTCATAACTCAAGTATAAAACAACCGCTAAATGATTTATGTTTTTTTTGTTGTTTTGTTTTGTTTTGTTTTGTTTTGTTTAAAGGCTTGTATTCTGTATAAAATAATCCTTAGTGACAGTATAGGAAAAGTTCCTAAAATACATTTATACTCATGGCAATTCTCATAACACTAATATCTGATTGAGCATATATAGGTTACTGCTAATAGGATAATGTTTACAAAAATATTAATCCACAGATGATATTATATTAGGCGGGGGATATACAATACAATATTAAATGTAATCGAACAATTATATATATTCGACCACTTCCAGAAAAATACTCGAATTCATTTTTGCCCACTTTAGAATAAGATGTCAGTTCAGAATAAGATAAGAAAAATCCGGTCTTCAATCTAATTTTTCTCTTTGAATTTGATTTTGATGTTTGAGTGTAAATAACGCCATTCTCAAATTGAATCGAATAAATGTGTTTAATCTCAACAACTCCTAAATCTCTGAGATTATTAATTCGTATAAAAATTTAAATTTTGCTCCTCTAAATCACTAGCCCAAAAATGTGGATTTCGAACACCCCCACGGCATCTCTGTGCGTGCATTTCAGACCTTTTTACTTTTCAATAATGGTCGTCATCGTTTATTTCTCTTTGCTGCAAATTTTAATTAATTCTATTGAACTAAAAAGAGAATTTTTTTAGCTAATCAGAGTTAGATAAAATTTATTTCTTGTAAAACTTTCATAGTTTGATAGAAATATATTTAATATAACATATAATCTGTTTTGTTCTCATTAAATATTATATCTCTAAACGTTTAGTACACCAAAACATTTAAATGTTAGTTTCATTATTAACCTTTTGATCAAAAAATCCCTAATACTCGTTTTCAAAGCACTGAAAATTTAATTTTAATTTCTTCCTTTAATGCAATTCACCATTAAATTTCATCGTATACATTTTATGTTAACTAATACAAATTGCTATACATGACAGATCGTCTTAAAATTGGTCAATGAAAAAATATGAGAAATGAGAATAGAGAGTTTGGCAACATCTGGTCTTGCTCATAAAATACTTCAGTTAACGAAAGGTTGTTCCGAAACAGCAGTTAATTTACGTAAGTTATAAGTGCAATATATTATGGCACTGATGTTTCTAAGCAAGAAGCTGTAAAATAAGTGGCCCCAAGAGATTAATTTAACGTATGAGAATTGCAACAGGAAAGTAAACTATGAGCGGTATAAGACATTTTAAGGACTGAGGGAGGAGGAATAAAAATATAATAAACTGCCTATGGTATTATTAGATTACACTAGAACAAACAGACATAATCACTATAAAAATCAAATATTAGTATCATTACTCTTATAAATCAAAATGCGCAAAACACGTGACATAACGACCATAGTCCTAAAAAGGTGCAGTAATCAAAAGAGTGCATCAGAATTTATGTTTATAATGAAACTTCGAATCAAAATCAAAGAATTTAGCGAATTAAAGAATCATAAAGATTCATGATAACGCTGTTTGTACCATATGTGTAATAATAATAATAAAATTTAATTTTACCTCAGACTTATGTTACTTGTCTCCTCGAACCCTATTATGTCTTTTAATTATTTCAACCATCAGAAATAGGCTCTTTTCATTAGGTTAAGATGAATGCGATAAATTCTACTAGCCTGAAGAAACGTGAGTGACTTGCCAATAAGAAATGTGTGGGCTGATGAGTGCAGAAGTTATGAAATTGAAATTATATTTTTGTTTTCTTTCATTGAAGTTAAATATAGTGTTGAAAACTGCAAATCCCTCATTAATTTTTTATAAGAAATGTATCTTTAAATTTATGTGCTTAATTGAAAAATAATTTTTTTACAAAACAGGTATGCTTCGTCCAATGAGAAAGTTTCATAGCATCTATAGATAAAACTTTTATCTAAATAGTATTTCCAAATTGGGTACGAAACAGCAGGTTTAAAACATGAAATTAAAGCAGGAGTTGCCAGCATTTGATTAGAGTTATTTGTGTTTTAATTCCAGATACATTCCTGTTTTTCTGTCTTGATTGTTTTGTGTCATTGTGTATGATCAAAGTTAGACATAATATTATAGACTGGTATTAGTCTTGCAATCTTTATACGTAGTCACTGCAATATACTGAGCTCAATAATGTATTTCTGTTTATGCATAAGAGAAATTTTCAGTTCAGGAATTGTTGATTTAATGGTATTATTGATTTGCTACTCACAGATTGTAAAATACGTCCTACAATCATGGAAGATTCAAAGTTGCTATTTTAAAAATAAAAAAGCTTCCATATATGTATAGTGTATTGTTATTGTTGAATCATTTCCTATTTTTAACATTCTGAACTCTTATTATTATTGTATTCCTATAAAAAATTAAGAATCAGTGCATTTCTCACTATATCTACTACAATATATCTAAGCTTGGCTCTTTTTCATATATATATATATATTCCTTCTGTTATTGACATATTATCGATTATTAATATAATATATATAATTATATATATATATATAAATATAGTATATAAACACAATTTCAAAACAAAAGTTGAAAATGTAATAATAATAAATTGTACTCTAGTTGTCTATTTGTACACTAAATGCTGTAATCAAACTTACGAGGAAGTCATGAAACGAAAGATCAGGAGTAAACTTTATGAAGAGATAATAATTACTATGGGTTTAGGAAAGGTAAATCTTTTTGGGAAAGAAACAGATAATGAAACTAAGATCATGTACAATACTTAAAAACAAAAATCACCTATTTTCATGTTGAATAAACGAATAAAATACAATGATTTTAATCTTGAATACAGATAAAATTACAAAGCGCATATGGAAAATTTACTGTTTCTAGAAATTTATAAAACGATATCAAGTTGGAGAATGGCATGGCTATTTCACAAAAGAACAGAAACTATGCTGATGAAGAAAAATGAATGGTGAGACCATGATTTTTCTCTTGTATATTTTTGATTAGACTGCAGAATTTACAACTATTAATGTAAAATTAAAGCGTTTTAAACAATAAACAGAGAAAACAACATATTTTAAATTACAATTTATGCTGATTTTGAATATTGTTGATTTTGAGAATATTGCAGGTGTATAATCACATTATGTTATCAAAAAGTCAGAAATTAAGCATGTAGTTACGAGATCTATAATAGGTTTTGTTAGAAACCTGTTGAGTTAAAAGAGTTTAGAATACCGTAGCAAAATTAATGATTTTAGCAAAAAATAAAGTAAGATAATATGTTTATAGGATTTACGTTGCTCCTAACATTTTGTGGTCCTATCGTGTTATTTATATTTTCACAAGACTACTCTAAACCTTAAAGTGATGTTTATGAATTTAAATAAATCCAGTCGCAAATCTCGTGATTGCAGCTTTAATTTATACTCTGCTGGTAGAATAAATCATACACGCTGTTATCCAGTTTTTGCATTTTCCTTTCATGCGTTTTAATGTCATATTTTTTTTTATTTTAATGCCCGTAATTTCTTGTCTCCCTAAGGCTGTAAAGCTTTTTCTTCCTCGAAAATTTTAATTATTCATCCATTAATCATGTCATCTCAATTTAATAGTCCCGCTTAAACTGTCCCTCCACACATGCACATAATTAGACTGAAGCAGATGAGTGAATATATTCATCTAAATATATATAATACTCATAGTGTTTAAAGCTATAACATCACTCAAAAGAGAAAATTCTGTATTTGTTTTCAGGGGAAAATTACAAGATTTTTTTGAGTTCGCAAAAATGCAATTTACACTTCACCCAAATTAAAATTAAGAAAAAGTAAAAAATAAGTACTTGAAATTTATTTCAGTTAAAGCATTACTTCATTGTTTAACTTTTTTATGAAAACAAAAGAAGTATCGTAATCATAAAAAATCCGGGTATCATATTTCAAAGAAAATATGCATTATGACCGTTATCGAATGCGATTTAACGATGTTTGTGTGTGACATCTGTACGTAAGGACATAATAAAAGACTCTTTTTTCCCTAATGGGTTGCAAAAAGAATTTAAAATAGATTCAGAAGTGATTTTTCACTCTGAGGTCTGTTCGTACGTCCGTGCATATGTATGTATGTATCTCGCATAACTCAAAAAACGAGTGACCTCAAAACGTTGAAATTTTGTATATAGGACAGCTATAACATGTAGTTATGCACACCTTCCTTTTTGGTTGCAATCGGCCGCACCAAAAGGGTACAAATATATATACACATACATATATATATATATATACCCACTCTGTTACTCCGCCCGTTGTGAGCTCAGTTTTTTTTTATTTTTATATGTTGGTAAATTGGGCATTTATCCTTTAAACCTAATTGATTTAAGTGCTTAACTTCTGGTTAAGGTTTTTATGCCTTTAGTTAACCTAAGTGTAATAACTGTAGAATTATCAAAAATTTTTAATTTGTTTAAATGCGGCTAAGCTTAAATGTTTTACCATAGTAGCCATATCTGTTTGCATTTAAAACTTAGCAGAATAGTGAATTAAGTCAGTTTCTGGACCTTCAGTGCCTTTGGTGAGTTTTTTTGCCGTGTGGGACCGAACGTAAACTTTTCGTTTTGTGTACCAAAAAATTTGCCTTCTTGCCTGCTGGTCGAATTGCTTATTTTTGCGTAGAAAATCTAATTTTAATTGAAAAAAAAATTAAAGTGTTTTAACTGTATTGGTGTTTTACGATTATCTATAAATATCGAAAAAATGTTTAAATGAAATGCAGCAAACAATGCGCATAATTTAATATGCCGTACAAGGGACTCATGTGGTGTCCGCATCAGATTTTGTTCTCTGGTTATGCAGAACAGGACAAATATCAATTAGTCAACATTTTTTATTGTACTGAAGCATATAAGAATTACAGCATTTAATTCACATATTCCCCCCTTCTTTTTTAACTTATTATGTGCTCCGCCCTTAGTCACTACACGGAAAGGGAGGGATGCCCCATGGAGGTCTTTTTGAGGCAAAATGGCTCGTATCCACGTTACACATGGGAAAAACCACAGAAACGCCCATGCAGGCCACCCCGTTCTCCGGAACTCAAACCCCGGACCGAACTACCAGTGTTCAGCGGATTCTCCCCCTTTGCTTCACTAATTTTATGGTACGAAAATGAGAGAAAAAATTATGTGAGTAATTTAATTTTCGAATTTTCGAAGGACGTGGTTGGAAATGAAGTTTTCATACCCATTACTATCAAAAAAAGTATACAGTAGTAATTTTAACATTAGTATCTAATAAGTTATTTTCATCCACTTCCTGTATCTTGAATCTCGCCTAGTATTATTGTTGTCCACTGCTATTCTCTAGGTCTCAAACAATTTAATACCACTCTCTGCATAGTCTGCTACACCTTGCAAGTCGTCGCCATTGTTATCGTTGGCATCATCTTCATGACTGCTCACTCTGTCTTCGCATGTACATTGATCTTCAGAACCATCATGAATATTAAATATTCTTGTCATATTGCAGTTCTTCGCTATATTTGCTTCATCAGTCAAAGCTCATGCATCCAAAATTCAGGAGGAAATCAATTAATAAGACAAAAACTACCGCAACATGGATGATTCCATTTTTTAAATTTAGAAAAGCTCGTTCCTCGAAATAATACGAATACTTAAAAATATTCAGAACCTTATGCTAAAAAGTTGAATGGTGAAAAACTGCAAGTAAATATCATATTTTTATGGGGAACTCATTTTTAAATACATGTATATGGAAAAAAAAACACGAAACCTTTAGGCAATCAGATTATTAGTTACCGGAAATGGAATTTAAACTAAAAAGTAACACAGCGCTAAAAGTTACACCGTTATCTACGTATGTAGGATAGATCAATGAATAGAATTAGCATTCGCAGAAAAATTTCCTTTTAGAATTTTCAACATTACAAATCAATTTTCGGAACTTTCAAAGTAATTTAATAAGTATACTAACATAAGCTTTTAATACTGAAACTGATAACAAATTAAATGTTTTCGATGGTTAGTAAAAATTCTGAATTGACTAACTTCCTAAAAACTAACTTTTTCAAATATTAAACACACACAGCATTGATTTGATAATTCTGATGGTTTTATTTCTCTCTTTCTACCAGCATGTTTCTGTGTTATGTAGTTTTATAAATTTATATAAAACAAAGTGCATTTATGTATATATTCTGCATTATGTAATTTTATACATCAACATGTGTCATCTCGATTATCAAAACACAGAAAAATTCTACTTTCAATTGAATTTCGAACTTTCTCGTAAAATATTAGAATGCAATATTTCAAATAAAAGGAAATGTGTTTAGGGTCTCACAAATGTCAGAAATCGAACAAATTTATGTGGGAAGGCTTGTTGGTGTATCACGCAAGGAATGATTCGTTTAACACCTTGCAGCTCGATCACGCAGCCCTTTCCTTTTTTTTTTTTTTTTTTTTTTTACGAAACTGAAGAATATCCGGGGAAGATTCAGTGATCTCATGCATTCCAGAAATTCATGCAGTCTTTCACACTTTCCGGGTATACTAGTACTAACAATTTAACAATTCCATCTTCTCTCTGTGATCAATACATAATAATGAAAATAATTGTGGCTTTCTTTAATAGCTAAACGAAACAACAAAATTGTTTAATGCTCTATAAAACTGTTAAAGCGTAGAAAAAAACGTGTAAGTACTTTATTTTTAAATATTTTCTGTCTCTGTTTAATGGTGATCTTATGCATGGGTCAACAAACTACTTTCCGCTGCCTGTTTTAATCCGGTCAGCAGCTTAATACAATTTCTTACATGTAATAATTTAAGTAAATTAAATTACGTTCTCTAATGCTATAGAGTTATTATGTTTATCGATTCAGGACGTATGATAAATATGCAGTGCCCTTTACAGGATGCGAAATCTATACATCCCGATTACACGTCGGATGTGCTTCCGGTTACATCACAAGCGCCCGCGGAAAGAAGGGAGAAAGTACTTTAAGTACTCCCTTTTTTAAACAGCGGATTGGGGATGAAAGAACCCAATCGCCAAATCCTAGGGGTGCCGAAATATCGTCCACTACCTTTTAGTTCGGGTGCCACTTGTAGAGGTATTCAGAATTTTCCCATGTCAGAAAAAAAGAAATGCGCCGTGCCATTGCCAGGATTCAAATTCTCGACCTCCCGATAAGGCGTCTGAACTGCTTCCAGTTATAAAACTAAGCCACGCAGAAAGGAGGGGAAAATATGAAGCAAATTTGCCGATATTCGAGTTAAGAAGTTGCGAAGAATGAATGC